CAGAAGATGAAACCCTGAGACACAGACATTATTAGCAATATTCCCTTGGCCCCAGGGCTTCACCCAGTGATTTGCAGGCCTGAGCCAACAGAACAGCTTCGGTACCTCCAGGGCAGGGCACCAACTTGGGGCATCACCCAATCTTCCTGTTCTGGCTGAGCAGTTCTCCCCCTCCCCACGCAGCTGCCCTCCTTTCAGTGGGTGCCTGCACCTTGAGGCTCTGTGTTGGGAGAAGGGGTAGGTGCTCTAGGCCTAGCCGCGACTGAGCCTTATCCAGGAAGGCAGGCAGCAAGGGGTGGCAGGGAAATCTCACCGGCTACCATCAGGGTGAAGTCAAAGCCCTTCTTCACGGATTTCCGGTGCACCTGGTTAGGCAGGGTGGCGAATCCCACATACTGCTTCTCGTGGTCCTGAGGAAGGAGGCAGACAGGGACAGCTCTTGGAGAAGTGCGCACAGGGATCTGCTATTCCCATTCTGACTCAGAGCATTGTGCAGAGGACAGCGGCGGAGGGAAGTAGGGGGGAGAAGAGGGGATCATTTCCCCACAGAAGATGGCCCAGCCCCACAGACTGCCCAATCGGCCAGGTGCTTGTAGGCCTGCGTTGCCAAGGAGACATGCAGGGAGCTCTCGTATGCCCTACAAATCAACTGCTCTGGGGCTTTGGCAGGCTCCTGTCAGCATGTGGCGAGAGAACTCCAGGGCCACAGCCTCCCCCGACCCCCACTGCCAGAGCAGTCGGGCGTTCTGTCTTTCTACAAGCTTCCCAAGCCCATCCCCTCCTCCCAACCCCCACAGCAACCCACAAGCCAGCCAGCGCACAGTACAGATGCCAAGTGTGGGTATTTTCTCCAGGACCCTCATTAGCCCAGGCCACTGGGCTAAAATTCCTTTGTTCGCCAAAACAAGGGGAAGTTGCAATACACCACGGATAATCCTGTGTGATTCACAGACTCCAGTGCTGTATCCAGACGCACCCTCCTAGCAGGGCGGAGAAACCTTTGTGCACTTCCCCCCACCCTCAGGCTCTAATTGGCCTGGGGGCAGGAGAGTAGCAGGGACACGTGGGCCTAAGCAACCCGCTTGGCAAGCCAGATCCAGCCCATGGAGGCCCTTTTGCCCACCCCTACCTCGGGCCCTGATTGACATGGGGATAGGGAGGGAAGTGTGTGAAGTCTTCTCCCACCACCAGAGGCACAGGCGCCTAGAGGGAACTGTCAGCTGTTCAGAACCGCCAGCTCTCTGGGGGGCCAAAAACTTCACACGCTCCCCCACTCCCAGGCAAATCAGGGTCTGTGGGTGGGAAAGCGCTGAAGTGTTCTAGCCCCGCCCCTTCTGCCTGAGGCCACACCTTTTCTGGCTGCCCAAAGCCAATTCAAAAATTTCTGAAGTGGCCCCTCAGTCAAAAATTATTGCCCATCCCTACCCCGTATGCAGCAACGCCTGTATGCACACAGAATACATACACAGTGTGGTGCTCATTCTGCAGTAGGAATGTGACAGTGTACACGTTTAAATGGTTAACCAGTGAGCCTGGGCTCATCCGTTACCTTCATGGTTACACACATGACCTCTCCCTTGCATTGTTGCCTCTGTTTCAGAGGAACAGGCGTGAGGTGGGGGGGAGCAGGTAGAAGCTGATGCTTATGGGAAGCCTGCTTATCCACCCGAGCGCTGGCTCCTGCGGAGTGACCTGCCTTCCTGCCCCCCGTGGTGCTGTCTCTGACACAGAGGCAGCAGTGGGGGAGGAGGGGCAGGTAGGAGCTGGTACATGCAGGGAGCCAGCTTTTAAAATTTCAGCAGTTAAATGTTTACAAAGAAGCCTGCTTTTTAACATCCATGTTCTACAGTTGGCCACATTCCATAAACACGTGCCAGAATAAAACACACACTACATGCAAAACAGTATTGCATGTGACATGCTGCATGCATGAGACACCTACCGACACATGCTGCATGCCTCGAACATTCAGCCTGCACACCCATAAAAGCAGATCAAAGTCTGTGGGATTGTACCAAGTGAGATAGGCAGTTCTCCATTAGCACAGGCAGATTTAATTCCGGGTTTATTGCAGCACTCATGGCCCAAGAAAAGCTAACTCAAGCCAAATGGAGGTGTTATATTGGCCTCAAGATGTGACAGACACTTTCTGGGGCCTGGCAGCACAGCCAGTCTGGGTACATGTTATGCCACTGAAATTCTAGCCCCACTCAGCAAAAGCCCATGAATACAGTATTCATAGCTTATGGAGGAACTGTTGGCTGCACACCACAAGTGCTACACAGAGGAGTCATTTTCTTAACCAAGTCTGCTCCATCAATATCATTCCTGTTTCCCTAAAGCCCAGCTGCAAAATTTGCCCCTGCATACACTGAGCTCCATTGCATACTCCTGTCCCACGCCAAGAGGGGGGCAGGCAAGTGACGCAGGTGAGCCAGGGCCCAGGCAAACATGCTTCCATTTTCTATACTCTCCAAATCTGAGGAACAAGGAAGTAACGACTCATTGACCACCTGGGCTGGATGCATACCAAATTCTGCATTTCAAACTTGCTGCAGCTGCCTTAAGAACAAACCTGCCACCAGGGTTCACACAGCCCAGACAGACCGGCACAGTCAAGAGCCTTTGGCAGCTCCAACCAGATGCTGGCACCAATGCTTTTCATCCATGGCTATGGACACTGCTCCTTTCTTGCCTGCCTAGCCTGGGTTGTCAAGACAAGTCCAACAGAGCTGGTGCTCTGCCCTTAGGGGTTAATCAGCCTCACCAGCTGCACTATTTGCAATGCACATGAAAAGGAACAAAGCTGCGATCATGCCAGCGCATCTCTTTGGGCCATCTAGTTTGCACCTGAAAGTCAGGCCAGCTGACCTGAGCTGAACGGATGCCCTGGTCAGTGTTCCCTGTAAACTGCATGGTTGGGTGGCCACCCACGAGAGATTCAAATACCTCTCAAATAGCTGATTAGCTGAGCGCTCACAGCCAGCAGCATGAATTTATCCTGCACATGCCTCGGTGCATATAAACAAATTATATTACACACACGGATGGAAAATACGTAGAGGGAACATTGGTCCCAGTACTCATGTTTTCTCTTCTTTGGCCCCATCTGTGCAAAGCCTGGAGAAGCTGCTTAAACCAAAGCAAATATGTGGGGGAAACACCCACCACCACAAATCATGCACGTTGAGCCATTAGGGCGAGTCTCCCAATGGGGCTTCCACCCCTGTAACATTTTTAATCGCTTTCATCTGAGCAGGCTCCAGCCCCAATCTCCTAGACTTGATCCTTCCACGGCCAGGCTCCCTACATCACAGCATTGATCCCCACTGCTTCCTTCCAATCCCTACATGGACTCAACAGGGGGGAGCAATGAACACAGGAAATCACAGAGCTAAGGCAAAAGTGGGATCAGAACTAGCATCTTCCCAGGCTGGCGTTTCACTGGCTGAGCTAAACGAGTTTGACGTCCCAAACCACAGACTCAGGAAGCAGCAGCAGGGGAGCAGGAAACTCTCTTGATAAAAAGTGACAGAGACTCCAGGTCTGTCGTGGGCTTGCACTGATTGGGAGGGAAGGGCAGGGATCTTGCTGCGCAATGTCAGGCTTAATTACAATGAGGTGAATTTTAACCACTCCATGCACAAACCTCCCCTGGATCTGGCCTGGAGAGCAGCCTGGGAACCATGCATCAGCTATGCCCCAGAATGCTTTGCAAAAGGCAGAGAAGAAGCAAGCTAAGAAGGGTAAGAAAATGTCAATATCAGTTTGCAAGGAGGAAGATTTAGTAAAAAGGATCCCCTTTAGTCAAGATACATTATGTGCCAGAGCTCTTCCATTGTCTGATTGCTTGGTTTGCAATAAAAAATACAACTGTCAAAAACGCAGGAGGCTCTAATTCAAAGAACGATTGTCAGTGTAAATCAGTGGCAAATCAGTATGGGTTTAAACATGCAGCTAGTCCCTTTTCCCACAGAGACGATTTGAATTTGGTGCAGGAGGGAGACGTGAACTCATTCTGAATGGTCTTCGAAAGTAGTTCTTCACCACTTCCTATCTTCGGGGCCCTTAGGACTGGGAAAAGCTCAGTATTCACTCCTTTTCCATGTCATTTATTCTTTTTTAAAAAACAGGCCAGATGAGGTAACTTTGCCTGTGAGAATGGAGAGACTGTCAGTCCCTGGTGCTACTCTGCCACCTTCAACACAATCACACTGAGCGAGTTTGGTCCACTGAGCTTCCAACAGCTGCTCAGGCCAAGCTGGATCTTAAACCTATTGTAACACCTCCATGGAGATTGGTTACTCCATTTCCTATAGATAGAGCCTACTGGGTCCAGGCTGGTGCCTTTAATGCCTTCCCTCTGGCATTTTTTAAATGATCACTAGGCCATATCATCCCTAGCTTGGGGCGGGAGTCAGAACCAGGGCAGGAGACTCCCCTCTCTGGGTATAAGGAGACCTTCCCCAGTCCGGAGCGGTTAATGCAAGGGCAGCTCAGCATAAGGGAAGAGGACCCCTTCCGTTGCTCCACAGCAACTCCTCTGACCCAGTGCCAAAGGGAATCCCAGCTGGCTCTCCTGCATTCAGTGGCTCACCAAGTGTACACACTCCAAAGGGTACAGGTGAGGTGCAGTTTCTCCCAGAGGAAAAACTGGGGGGAATGGATGCTCATTGCTCTAAAGGGGCATCCTCCCTTCCCTTGAAGGCGCCTTTCAATACTTTGATCCTCACTGTGGTCATGGATACCATGCCCTGGAAGAGATGTTCAGTGTGAAGAAGGCCAGGTTGAAAGAGTCTATCAAAGAAGCATGCACCATACTTCAGCTTCTGCCCTGAGACACATACGCACGTTCCCAAACCACGTCAGGCTGCGTGGGGGCTGCTGCATGCATGTCTGAGGGCAGAATTTAGCCCACAATATCTATCTCAACATGGACAGGCCATCTGCATAGCCCCCCCCCCCCCCCCCCCCCCCCCCACACCCTCGGGCC